ATAACACTACAGATGTGACAGGAAGGAATATGAAACAGAATCCCATTTCATGCAAATGCAAATGAGAATTTTTTAATGAATCTGCCTCTGAAAAATTGTTCAGAGTATTATTATTGTTATCTAGATACAGAATTTTTAACATTTTCTTTCAGTTTTCCAGTTTTTAAACAAAAACTGTAATCTTTCTCATAGTATTTACTTTTTAGGGTCATGTACTTTACAGAAGCTGACACTACAGGGCTGTATAGATCTTTTCTAACTTGGTAAAATACTTAGCTAAAAGAACTGTTACTGATTATGGAATGTATAGTCAGCAAATAAAAAAAAATTAGGAAGTCAATTTATAATCAGGAGCAATTATGAGTTGTGAGACGAGTTATATGAAGAAAATGAGAAACTTTGGAAATAATGGATTTAAATTATGACAGACTAATAATGAGATCATTCATTATGGAATGTTAAATAATTCAGTCTGTTCAATTCTAAATGTAGTTTCTCAACATTAACTATCACTGAATTATTTTACTACATTATTTTTGTGACCTCTTTATTTTAAGCAGTTAATTTGACATTAAAAGGTGAAGTGATTATAACAACATGCAATGGGGCATACAATAAGGTAAATGATTGTGAGAAATAGAGTGAAGTTTAATTGACTTTTGGTACTACAAAGAGAACCTTACTCTTAGAAAAAATATTATCTTCTTAGGTATCTGTCAATGTGTGTACTCACATTAGCTATTTCAGGTAGAAAACAGTGTGACTAGAAATCCAGTTCCTCTTCACAAGCCTTGCTGTGAGATGCAATGCCACTGAACGATACTGCGCTATGTAGTTCCTCTTGCCTAATGGCTAATACTGTCCATGGCTCAGTAAAAGACTGAACTTTCCAAAACTAGTTAAATGTGAGTAACATCATAACTACTGCGTACCTTCTTCATTATGTGAACAGGGTGCCTGTCTCAGTAAGATCTGTTTGCTTTTTATAGTTTGTACCCAAATTCAGTAAAACTTACAGGAAAAAACCCAAGACATTCGTTTCCCAAGAGGCAATCTCAGACTGTTCTGAATGAAAACTGATTGGAGGGGGGCAAGGAGGAGGAAGTGACATTTGAGGCAAGTTAGCCATCAGGAACATTCACAGTCTTCTTGCCATTAGGACTAAGGAGAGACATACACAGAAACCAAGCTCCCTAAACTGGTCACGTGTTAATACCAATCCATCACAGCGTATCGTTCTTACGGTGTTGGATTCTTATGGCGGACTGCCTAGCACTAGGAGGCAGGTTAGGAGTTTTGCATAAATCTTTCTGGGCCTCCTGAATGCCTTCCATCTTTTGCATACGGCCCTTTCTCCTCTGTCTACTGTAGGATCTAATCAATTAATTTAATTTACTGATTACACTAGTAGGGAGCTAACTTTCCTAAAAAGTTTCATGTGTAGAAGACAGACAGACAATAACAGAAAGGCCAAAGTAGACGAGTAGTAGAAGAAAAAATCCAACCCCCTTTTGGGGTTCTTGGTTGTTCTGTTTTGTTAGTTTTTGTCTTGTTTTATTTTATAAGTATTCTTTGATTTTTAAAGGCAAAGGAATTGTTAGGAACTACAACCTGTGGAATGCTTGAGCCTATTCTCAGTAGTTGGGGTACCTCTCCTTCCTGGATGGTAGCATGCTAATATACTGAATCTTTGAAATTACTAAATTTATTGTGATTGAGAGATTAAATTGCTTGCATTCTTGATAGACAATTCATTTTATCAGGAGAATAGCAAAATAACTAGAATACATTCTTGAGAAGATGCTAGGAACAGGTGAGGATTATATCTCTGTTTCTTAGGACATTTCAAGGTCAAGCTTTTCTAGAAAGAAGATGTTCAGGTAAGCCAACAGAAGCCTTCACGAGATGGAAAAAGATGGTAGGAGTGGTTATTCTGGTTGGGAGTGGGAGATAGGAATAGAAATTGGTTGTCAGACAACACCAGAATAAGAGATAGGCTTTATATCTAGACTACATGCTACATTACTTAGCCCAACTGTTCAGACTGCTTTTTCTTCTGTTCAGTGCTATCTTGCAGAATAATTATGAGTAATCTAAGTTAAAAAAAAAAAAAAAAAAAAAGAAAAAAGAAAATAAAAAAAAGCTGAAGGGAGTTTAGAAATTTTTGC